CCCTGGGATGGAGCGCAGGGGGGCTGTGATGTGGTGGCGGCGATTAGTGTTGGATTGAAGATATGGTGTAGAGGGATGTGGAATTGATTTTCATGGAGGCATTTTTCTCGGTTGATAAGGGTTGCAGAGTGGCGATTTCGTACATACAAAACGAGGAGATGCTGCTGATCTTGGGGAAATTTTCCGAAAATGAGGGGATCTCATCTCGTGTTGCTTATCTACCGTGGAGTCCCTTGACGATTTCAAGTAGACAATCCCGGACACTGCAAATCCTCGACATTCTCCTACAAGATCAACAGATGGTACGAAGGATTCGTCTATCTAAGGGGGACAAGCAGAGTACCCAGCTTCGTTCCCACGTATTATTGATTTACTACGTCAATCAAAGACTGGAATACCAGACTGGAGGCTGAGTGTGGCGTGCAGGTGGCTCACATTCTATGCCAACAGCTGGACTATCAAACGGCAACTTCCACTACGCAATACTGGAACAAAGCTGAGGTCATTCCGTGGAGAAGCTGGGAAACGCCACTGCGGATAGCAACGGTTGGATCTGCAGTGGCTGCGCGCGGGCTCAGCTCCGTGTAGGCTGATTGGCGGTGGGATCGGGAATGGAGCGGTGTCGCAGTTTGGAGGGCTATAATAAGAAAGTGCATGTACGGGTGGCGAAGTCGGGAGAGACAACGAGACGACGTCTTACAGACCGTGTCGACTCCAGCTGGTGTTGGTCGTTCGTTTTGGGTCAGCAGCTATATCCAGGAGGAGCTGCAGCTGTCAGGCATTCGCTAGCTCGGCCTCCACTATGCAGGCTGGAGGTCGAGACGGGTCGAAGAGAGCTTATTATGGGACGGACAAGCTAGCAAAGTGGCTGGATGGGCTGATGGGGAAGAGGAGGGGGGGGGAATATAAACGTGTCGGGGGTGAGACTGCAAGTATCTGGTCATGTACCTGCTTTAGCTCAGCGATGAGGGGTCCATGGGAAAGGCAGCATCTTCCGTTGATGCGGATTGGGATTTGTCGGGACAGTTCAATGGATTGATGACACCTCAGTTGAGAGCTTGAGTCAGTAGGTAGTACCTGCCCCCCCTGTGCTCTTGCAATGGAGTGCTTCTTTCGGCAGTGGCAGTGGCGCCTTGGGGACGTTGGGGCCGGGAATGGCTTCGGTGCGCGGTGCCTTCCTTCTGCTAGATGAGTCGAATCGTGCAGGAAGGGAAGGCAGGATGCAGGGCAGGAGCATACCTTGCACAATGGCTGCCCCTAGAGGCGTGGGGCTTGGGACCGTTGGGATCCAGGCCGACGGCGCCTCCGACAACAACGACATTCCACCATGACCTACCGATACGACGGTCATTGCCCACGCTGCAGTGCATGCACGGATTCCACACGCCTTACCACCTCCATGATCAGCTGGCTATCTCTATTCCACCCGGTTGCTGGACCCTGCTGCCTGTCAGGTCTGGCGCCACCAGCAGAACAAATATGTCTTCCGTCCCGCTGTCATGCACCTCCAGATCCCTGCCCGTGCTTGGTTGGCTTCGATTTCAGTGCGCTTTGGAGCCGTGGTGTTCCCGGCGCATACCTAAGGTAGCTAGACGTTGATCGACTCGAGCCAGAGCGGTAATGGCTAGAGGCCATTGCCTATTCTGCCCACGAAACAATTGCCCACGTTGGCAACCATCCCAAGTGCTGGGATCTGCATCTACATATCTCCGCTCTTGCTAAGATCGAGCTCTTCGTACCGGGACGGCCCCCCGCACTCTCACGCCGCATCGCGGGTCGCCTCTTCTCTCGCTGCTGGGTTGTGTATCCGCCAACTACAAAGTCAGCCAGCCCCCGACTCCACCCCCAAACCTACCCTGCGAGCACTGGATGGCGACACTTGGACTTGGGTGGATGAAAAGCAAACACGCAGATCCCATTGATATGTTTAAGCGCCTTTTCCGTCCCCTGGACTCAGACCAAGACCTCTTTCTCACCCCTCTGACACGGCCTGGTCCAATTCCTGGGTCTAGGCCCGTCCGGATCGTAGTGGAACCCCGACTATCAGATGTCGACTGCGTGGACCAGCTTCTCGATTTCTAGATTCCCGGACTCGGACACCCCCCGATAGATTCATTGATTTGTTCAATGAAACGGCATACTTGCTCCAATTCATCCCTCCCTTTGACCATTTCCCTCTTTCTACCTCTCTTTCTTTCCCCGACTCTTCATTCCAATTGTAGCGGCTTTTGTCACCTCTCGTTTGGGTTACTAGACCTTTTCGCATTCTCATTTGGTTTCTTATACTGTATACTTCCCCTCGGCTCTACCAACGAGGGCTTGTCCTCCTTTTTGTGCGCGAATGTTGGTGAACCAGTCATTATTATGGCACATACAAGCGAATTGGAGCCTCATAAGCGAAAACGAGAATCAGAAGATAGTGGAAGCCATGGAAGCTTTCCGCCCGGGCACTATCAACAGATGTCTCTACAGCAAGGTACGTTGTGATTTCTACGATTGTGCTGGAGAATCCGCGTTGTTGGACCACTCCTCCCGCCACCAGTGCATATTTCGGGTAACGATCGCCACTGGTGCGTGCAAATGTGGAGTGCGCATGCCTACCAGGACAAAGACACTGGATGCTTATTCCTGCTGCTCTTGCGCCTTGGCTATTACTTCCCATTGCTATCTGTGGCGGCTCTCATCTACCACGTGGTCAATTACGACTGAGCAAAACGCACCACTCAGGACACAATGCGCCCGAATAGTCATCTTCCTCTTTTGTTGCTGCAATGACGCTAACTTTTGCCACTGGGCTTACTAGGCGGCATCAACTATCTGTCAAACTCGCTTACAGATCGCTTGGGTCTAATCCAGGGCGATGCTGAGACCTTCTCGGACCTCTTCGGTCTCATTCTAGAGTATGAAGGTATGTTTTGTACTGTCGTCGTTTTCTGGGATGGTTCTCATCTCTCAAGATCGCCCTTGGAGGTCTAGCCTAACCTGCGATTCTAGGGGTTTTAGACAGACAGGAGAGCTTTGCAGCAAGCCTCGGTGCCAAGTTGACAGGCCCTCGCTTGATGAAGGGGATTGAGAAGTTTTTCGAGGGCCCCATTAAGACGTACCCGCCACATCCATTCCCACCGATTAGCTGGCTGGATGTTTGCACATTTGCCAAGACGAATCCCGATGATTTTTCCCTGTCTCATATGGAAGATGGCACTCGCAGTTGCCAATTTGTATGTCGGGGCCATCAAACGGAGATTTCCGAAGATGACTGGCGCTTCATTTCTTCGGGGGCACTGAACAGGTTACCTCTTGACTATCCACTGGAAGAGGATGAGACTGCTGAGCTTGCCACTATGGATATCATTGAGCAGAGAACTTCAATCCTCTCTAGAAAAGCAGATGAATTGGCGTCCAGAGCCCGAAGCTTGCACCACAAGGTTGGGGTGCGGAAACAAGACCTATCGCGACGACGACAGAACTGGGAGACCGACTCTGGTTCACGCTTTCAATCCGTGAACCAGCGATTCCCAAGGCTCTCGCAGAACCCCTCGTATGACCTTCACCAGGATCTTCTGCAGCAGTTCCTTCAACCTACGCCTTCTGCCACCCCCTCACGGTCAGCTTCAGTGGCAAGATGGAGCCAAAGTCAGCCATCGCCATCCATGGTAGCCTCGCAACCCCAGAGAAATTCAGCATCTGCCCGGGCTGCGGCTGCAGAATTGGAGAACCAGTTAGACATCTTCAGACCCTTGATCACCCAGTTGGTAGAAAGGCTGGGGCGAGGCGAAAGCATTCTTCCTCCTTGCGACCGGTGTCGCCGTCTTAGACAGCAATGCTTGAAGCATCTCACTGCTTCCCAAGGATGCACTAAGAAACATGCGAAATGTAGCTGGAAGTCTGCGACAGAAGAGGAGATCACGTCACTGAGGCAGGATATGGGTCTCCCCCCAATCGAGAAGCTCTCGGACTTTGATACTGAGCAGGAGCTCGTCAGTCCTGCTGGAGGCACAGCAGTGTATCCGAGAACCACAGCTGAATCAATTGCGGAAACGCCACGGCCAGAGAGCCAGGGAACCGACGACCCGGGAGGAGGTCCAGTTGCCTTTGGCCTGCACAATATCCTGTCGGGCAGATCGGAACTGCCAGCTATCAGGACCAGAGCCGCCATTCCCACCAGCCAAAGCTCGGGGGGAAACGCACCAAGCACGCCGCACAGTCATTCCTCTACTAGCCAGCCTGGCGGGGAGCGACAGGTTTGGGCGCCATCTAACCCGCCGTCACGGTAAATGGATAAGCTTTGAAAACAATCGTCTCTGGTGCACGGATACAGATGGCAGTTTTCGTCGTCATTTTTTTCTTTTCTTTTAAGCCAGAACAGAGATGCATATGAATGTATGTCATGCGCTGCCATGTGCCATGCTATATTTTGTGATTTATTGTTGGACCAGGGGGATCTAGATACCATGGGATTTGGGAGGTATAACGTAGCGAATTGAGCCGTCGAACTTGTACGTGCATTACGGTCCTTTGCAGGAGCTATGTCAAAGCTCAGAGATAAGAAGCGAATTGATGATGTGCCATCCGTTGCCATTCAGTGCCAGTCCAGCAGTGAGTGAGTCTGGGCCATCGTGGGGCCGCGATCAGTGAACGGCAGCCCCACAAAGTACTTCCGGGCGGTATCTGCTAGCGCCTAAAATAACCCCATGCATCTCGAATCGGGCACCGAAAAACAGGCGCCAGGACTCAGCATCCTTGACCAGGGGCGTGGTTGGCTTATCGGGAAAGGAAAAAAAAATTATCACCCACCCCCACGGATCTATCTCTTGCCGTAGCTGCATCACCGTCATCGATACCAACCTCGGCACCGCCAACCACAGTCTCCTCCAGCTTATACCGCAGCTACCTAGGTATCGATTTGGAGGCCATCGACGCCAAGTAGATGGACTCATAGCGGTTCATCAACCCACACAGCGAAATCTTATCGCCTTCTTCCCTACCAGAAGTTGGCAACCATGGCGCAAACGCCATCGGCCACGCATGGCCGTGCGCCCCAGCATCAGACGGTTCCCGCGGAGCACTCGGTGCTCATCCAATCGAGAGAAACAGGCGACGTTATTCCTGAAGAGATCATCAGAGGCCAGGTCAAGGCACTTCCATTCGCCAAGTCCTGGGTGCACATGATGGCTGGAGGGTATGCGCCTTCCCCTCACATCCTTTGCCTCATGCAGCTGCTTGAGACATGTGTGTGGACCAATGGACTGCTTGCTGACCTGACTACAGCGTTGGAGGTATGACGGCGGCAACTCTCACAGCGCCCCTCGACGTCCTGAAAACACGACTCCAGTCCGACTTCTACCAGGCGCAGATCCGCGCATCCCGCTCCGCCCACGTCGCCTCGCTCAACCCAGCCCGCGCGGCCCTCTACCACCTCAAAGACACACTCCAGATCCTGGGCTCCGTCTACCGCACCGAGGGCGGCCGCGCGCTCTTCAAGGGCCTGGGCCCCAACCTCATCGGCGTGGTGCCCGCCCGCGCCATCAACTTCTACGTCTACGGCAACGGCAAGCAGTTCCTCGCGCAGCACTGGAACAACGGGCAGGAAGGCGCGTGGTGCCACCTCATGGCGGGCGGCGCGGCGGGCGTGGTGACGTCGACGGTGACGAACCCGATCTGGATGGTCAAGACCCGCCTGCAGCTCGACAAGAACGTGGCGGCCCGCAGCGGCGGCGCGACCCAGCGGCGGTACAGGAACAGCGCCGACTGCGTGCGGCAGATCGTCCGCGAGGAGGGCGTTCGCGGGCTGTACAAGGGCATGAGCGCCAGCTACCTGGGCGTGGTGGAGTCGACGCTGCACTGGATGCTGTACGAGCAGATGAAGGCCGGGCTGGCGCGCCGGGAGGAGCGGATCGTGCGGAGCGGGAGGGAGAAGAACTGGTGGGATCAGACGGTCGACTGGACGGGCAAGTTTGGCGCTGCGGGCAGTGCGAAGCTGATTGCCGCTGTGTTGGCGTATCCCCATGAGGTGAGAACCCTTTTCCCCCCCTCTTTCGTTTTGACGGGAGAGGATAACCCCGCTGGGGATGCAGAGATTGATACTATTGCGGAAATAATGGAAAAATGTTGGGTTGGGAAAGCTAACAGGGATCCTCCAGGTCGCCCGAACACGTCTTCGTCAAGTGCCCCTTGATGGCAGCAAGCCCAAGTACACCGGCCTGATGCAGTGCTTCCGCCTCGTCTGGGTCGAGGAAGGCCTCATGGGACTCTACGGCGGTCTGACGCCCCATCTGATGCGCACCGTCCCGAGCGCCGCCATCATGTTCGGCATGTACGAGGGCATCCTGCGCCTGTTCAACGCTCCGGCGTAGGTGCCGTCCTCGTCCACACTCGAAATCTTCAATTCACACTATTTATTAAAAATCGCCCCTCCCTCTCCGCCTTTACCGACAAGCTCCGGCTTATTGAGGTGTTGACTCTTGGGGAAGGGGCCTGTACGATACCAAAGAGAAACTCACTAGAACTGGAATACCTGTTAGATTAAAAGGGGCGTTATGGGAGAAAGCGGGGCCTGGGAGGATATCACGAAGTAGATGAGTCTCTCTGATGCCTTGGCTGGTGGTTTCAGATGTTTTTCTTCTTCTTCCATCTCCAACTCTGTATAATAGGAAAAAGGGGGGGGAAGGCAATCAACCGATATATAGAAAACCTCGTTATGGCCGCCGGCAGAGGAGCAACGAGCTTGTATCACTAGAATTAGGAAGGAAAACCACCCTGCTACGGCATGCGTAATCATGAAATACTACGACCGAATTATACGATCCCTCGCCTCTCCTATTGAGGTAATGACTTTCTTGGTTTGCACAGTTGTCAGGAATAATGCGCTTTTTTGTCAAGTGTGTATTATGCAGCTCCTAGAGAAACAGAAAAATGAACAAAACGCCACCTACTCCCTCCATGAAATGAAGATGGTCCTCAAATTGTTTTATCACTGGCGGGTGAGAAAGATAAGATGGGCATAGAAAGCAAAATAAAGGGGGGGTCCAAGGCCCCCCGAAAAGAAAATAATGATAGATGCTAATTGAGGATCAAAATAGGTAGAAACAAGTTTTTTCGGAGCTTGGGGGTTGGTGGTGGTAGAACAGCAGAGTGAAGTAGAAGAAGAAAATCTCGCCCCAGAGAACTCACTCACTCAATTCCGGTGAGGGGGGACCCCGACTCATGCGCGCGGTTACATCTTTCCTTTACTTCAAAGACACGGCAACTGAACTCCGTCGTTTTCTCGGCGGCGGCGGCGACGGTTCGTCTCTGGCGGCGAGCATCTCGACGATGTTGCTGACGGCCCGGCGCCTGCGGACGTCCTTGGGCAGACGGGCGCTGGCTACGATGAGAGACATGTTGACGGTGCCCTGGGGCTGAGTCGAGAGATCATAACGTCACCATGCGCTGCGGTCCCAATTCGGGTCTGGATTCCGTTGTTTCAGATGGTTAGCAATTCTGGGTCTTTTGGATTGTTCCAAGTTGAAAATCTAACGATTGCGAGCCCGGGATGGGAGATCTCGCATTGGGGGGGAGACCAAAAAAAACATACCCTGAACGAACGCGGCCAGCACCTTGCTCCCCGTCTGGAGCAGCGGGTGGCCGACGACGATCTTGAGGAACTTCTCCAGGCCGGCCCTGCGGCTCTCGATGACGTCGTCGCTGAAGCGGTTGGTGAAGACCTTGCCGGGCAGCGGGGGGATGGTGACGCGGGCGCTCTCGCGCTCGAGGATGTCGCGGAAGTACTCGAAGTCGGAGTACCGGCGGCGGACGCTGCTCTGGCGCAGCTTGAAGGCGGGGATGTTGGTGCGGCAGACGATCTCGTAGTCGGTGTACATGGAGCGCCCGATGCCGTGCGTTCGCGGGTTGCGCACCTGCAGGTGTATCTCATGTCAGTGCGAGGGACTTGGTAAGGCTGTGTGGGCTGATGAGGCTTGTAGGGGATCGGGGATGAGGAGCTGCGGACGTTTCTGCTGGGACAATTCGGCCTGGAAGGGGGGGTTCACCAACCTCTATCTCGAGAAAGTTCTCTGGGGCTCCGTAGATCTCGTCGAAGCTCTGCTGGCGGGTATCTGGCATGGCCTGCATGGTGGGCGACTTGGGGACGAGGCTGTAGCTAGACGAGCTCTCGGTGGGAAAATGCGCAATAGGGAAATGCCTCTGTCAGAAAAGAATGGATCTGGACAGGAGAGAAGCTTGGGCGGAGAGTTGTCGGGGTCGTGTCCGATACCGCGCAGCTCGTATGTGGACGCACGAAGCGGACGAGGCTGGGCCTGGATGATGACGCGATGCAAGGCGAGGCGAGGAGGGGCAGAGCTGGGAGGTAGACCGAGGGCTTTGAGCAGCAGCTGGAGGTGGTCGTGTGAGCAGTTGCGATCCGGAGACCTGAGAGTGTGCCCGCCTGGCGCAAGGGTGGGGATGGGACAGGATAAGAGGTGCGACGGATGCGAGCTGTAGTAGGTAAGCTGGGACGAGGAGGGGTGAGGTCTGGTCCTGAGCTGAGCTGAGGCTGGCTGATTGCTGCCGATGGGGATGGACCCGGTGGACGGCTGATGGAGGCGGTGCGCCGTTGGCACGAGGTACTTGGCCGTAGTGGGGTGCTGCACCAAAAAGGTAGGTACTATACCAGGTAGCTGGCCTCGTTGGAGTCCTGGATGCTCGGTCTATCTCGAGCCCGCAACAAGGAGGAGCAGAGAAAAAGGCTGGAGGGAAGGAATCAAGAGCAACGGAGAGGAATGAAGGAGGAGAAGAAGCCTTTGCTGCGTGCGGGGTTTTATTAGTGAGCGTTGGGGTAGGCCTTAATATCATCTCATCATCTACAAATACTACCGAGCTGTGTGTCTCTCGGTTCGACAGCCTTCCATCACTCACATACGGCATGATTACACAAACTTTGTCACGTCTGCCCATCACATACGGCGGAGCGAAAGATCACTGCGTGGTGTGGGGCAGTAAGTATAAGGTCAATTTACAGCGACTTCGCTGCATTGGCTTTGCGCAATCCAACCTGGCATCATCAGTTCAATACATGGCTCTCCAGCCCCTCCCCAACATGACCCGTTTTGATTCTCGAGTGAAAAAGATTAACACCTTGATATGCCTTTGAAAACTGAACCTATCCCCAGTTGAGAGGCACTCCCAGCCTCAGACGCTAAAAACTAACACCCGTGTAATTCATTGCCGTTTGTGAAGTCGGGTTGGCTGCCCTTGCCATCCAGCAAAGCAATCTAATAGAACATCCTTGTTTCGCAGCTCCCTGTGTCAACGAGATGATGTGTTTTGTTTTGTTTCTTTCTTGTCCAAATTCGACGAGCTGGTAAAGCTGACATTGATAAGCCCTTGAACAACCGCATGTGGTAGCGCAAGCCGCCTTACCTATCCAGCCCAAATCAGACTGTCTTGTCTACTGGCTTGAAGCAAAGCATCTTGCTTCCCCGTTCTTTGGTTACGTGATGGCCTGGGCCAGAGAGCCAGGACAGCATTCTAAACCGAGCAGTAGTAGTAATTGAACGGATGCGAAGTGTGCCTCTCGTACACCTACTCTTCGTGCACCTTGGCCGTCAGAATTCGATTGAGATCCCTCACTTCCTCTCGCCATACTTGTCGTAAATCTGTCGGATTTGCTCGTTGACGTCGACAGACTGCATCCCTGGTCGGGGAACATTCGGATCGGGGGCTCCATCGAAGCTGTGAACCGCCGCCTTCTTGCGTCGTGCTGCCTCTTCTTCTGAGATGGCCTGCCCAGTGATGGGGTCGAACACATCACTACGCTGACTGGCAAGCCGCTTCAAGTTATTGGCCACATCCACGTGTGAAATGTTTGAAGTTGCATAGCGAGCCTCTGCCTTCGCTTTTTGTTCCTTCCAGCTGGGGTCAAGCAATTCGACTAAGGAGATAGGTTAGCAATGCAGGCAAACAAAGCAAAGTCGAGAATGGGGCAACGAGCCGAGGCCACTTACTTCGCATGTGAGCTTCCAGCTCGTTCATTGGGATCTGCTGTTTGCAGTTGGGGCACAGCGCCATCTGCGTCCCTTGTCTATTGGCAGTCTTCTGGGCTGCCCGAGGCACGTAATTCTCCCTGATCTTCATGGGCGCAACGCCACCCCGAGCCTCAGCTTGCGCATTGTGCACGCGAGCTTGAGCATCGCTGCGCTCCTGTATCCTCCGCAGCTCTTCCTCTTCCTGTGCAGTTCGCGGTGGCGCTCCTGGGTAGAAATTTTGAGCTGAGGGTACCTGTGCTGGGTAGTTTGGCTGTGGTACTGCGTGTCCTGGGTGGGCTGGGAGAGGGTATGAAGGTAGCTGTGCTGCTGGTAGGTCGCCATTCTCCATTGCTTCCGCCTCTCCAGGGAAGGCCTCTTCGATGCGCATGTTGGGGGCGATGGATGCCTTATTCCTATCTTCCAGGGATGCGTATTGCAGCTCAGCGAGATTGGTAGGAGGTGGTAGGTTGGCCTTCTCGTCGCTCTCCGTGAAACTGATGGTTTCCACGACGACGAAATCACCCCAATCGATTCGCGCGAACTCGGCCTTCTTCTCCTCTTCCTCCTCCTCTTTCTTCTGCTTCTCGGATTCCTGGAATTTGCTGTACTCGGCTCGTTCTCTTGCTCGGGTTAGAATCCGTAGCTTGTCCTTGACATCCTTCTCCAACCCATCCATGACGTCCTGCTGTTGCTTGCCACCCTCGCCATCAACACCGCCCGCTCGTAGGAGTTTCGTGTATTGGTCGATTATGTGCTGGAAGAAGTTGTGGAATGTGTGGTTAGGAATGAGGAACTGAAACTGGGGGTTTCCGGTCTCGCGCTGAGCGAGCTGCGTCATGAACCCGCGACCATTCTTAGCGACAAAAAGGGCCGTCAGACGGATGACATCAAGATCCTTCTGGTTGATATGGGGCATCCGAGCAGAAAACTGGAAATCGGGAGGCTTAGGGGGGCCCTTGGGCTTCTCCGGCGCAGGTGTTGCGGCCGTCTCGCCGGCGCGGCCAGCTGCGACGTCGGTGCCGCGCCCGGCCCTGATCTCGGCCAATCTCCATTCGTAGAAGGGAAAATATGCGTCGGATGGGTTCAAGAAGCTGAACTTTGGGTTTTGCGCCTCCTTGTCGCGGACACGGTCCTCGAATGCAGCTCCATTTCGCGTGACGTAGCCCGCAGTTTTCTCGAGGATCGTTCGGATTTCGCGAGGTGGCAGAACAACTCCGGGAGGGGGCTTGAACTCGTCCAATGCCCCGTGAGAGTCTCCATTCGGCGCGCCGTTTGCCATTTCAGCGACCTGTCGGCAGATTGAGCTTGAGGAGGAGATGGAATGGGTATCTTGGGGTGCTCTTCTGAGCCTTGTCGCGTTTGGGAAATTTCGAGATCAGGGTCGATGCACGTACCAAACGAGAATTCGGAGAAGTATTGTTCCGGCGCCGGCTCCAGACAGCTCGCGTGGGTAAAGGGTGACATAAAGGTTAGACACTAGAACACCACTCTCAGCCTGTTGCGTTCTATTCACGGCCTGATATCCGTTAATTAGCAATGGAAAGTATACATTCATTTGAGAAATAGACTTCTCTATTGCGAAAATTGTCCATGCCCGCCCCAGAATGTGCTGATGTTATTTTGGTATACATGTCCACGGCCTCGTATCGATCTTTATGTCACCTTGGTGTGTGGGCAGGGTTTCAATAGATACGGAGTACAGACCCCTGGTTTCGCATTAGAGGTGGACTCGTCTTCCCGCTACCAATTACGCGTTTCGGACGAGAAAAAAGTTTCAGATCTAGAACGACATCACCAGAGAATGGGTTTCAATGGTCAGTTGGCTCTCCTCCGTGAAACCCAGCGTATATGGACATCGATGGGAAACAACACCTGGCTCTATGTCAATGCAGGAACGAAATTAATCGCCTTGGCCAGAGAGCAAGGGTCGGTCAAACTGCGAGCTGGGGACGCGTCTGTAGGGATGGAAATTTGGGTTTCTTTGTCGACTGCAAACGTGCATCAATGGACTGATCAATAGCACACGATTTGCTCGTCTGCAAGTGCCCTATCAAAGCTCTACCTTAGCACATGTCAGAGGGATGTGGGCCAACCAATAGATCCAGGAGCGGCCAGTTGAGCTCTACTTTGGGTGTACCAGGACTGGGGCCGTCCCGTGTAGCTGGCGCAGGGTACTGAGGATGTAACTGTGAGCTAGTGCACAGCTAGAACAGGGTGTGGCAGGTACGGCTGACAGCAGAGAGCTTGATGTGTCCTTTCAGAATTGAAGGCATTGGCATAGAGCTGTCGATGTCCTCGGCCTGGATTTTTTTCTGTTCTTTCTGCTGGATTGTACGCTGAATGGCGCCGGTGAGAAATATAGCTCACCCGGGAATGGCCTTGCGCCGTTGACAGCAGTTGCATGACGGTTCCGGCCGTTGTGCTCGCCTGGTCTACGAGAGCTTCCAACAGCACTCGCCGGGTGCGGATACACCGTCGAGGTACCGCCAGTCCCTTAACACCCCCCCTGTCTCTCCACACACCAGGTCGTCAGCCCGCCCGTCTAGCGCCCTACCCACCAGACCCAAGCACTGGCAGCCGGTTCACCACCGCTATTCTCCCAGGTACCCCCCTTTATTGCAGTGCCCGCCTTGCCAGGCTGTCCATCAATTCCAATTCCATCTCAGCTCTTCAACCTTCGTGTTTGGAGGACACACCCGTTTGCGCACCCATCATTATCTGGTAGCGGGGGTTCCTTCTTCTTTTCTTCTTCTCTTCTTGTCCCATAACCCAGTCCGGCCTTCACGGACGCTTCCTTCGAAGTCCTCCCAGTCCTCGACTCTTCTTTTCTTTCCTCACCCTTCATACGCTCCTTGAATCGAACTACGACATATCTGTCTTTTCTCCCGACACCTCCACCCACCACCTGTAATACCAACGAATCCGTCGCTCTAATAACCTCGTGCATTGGCCTGCCCTCGATAGCGATATACAGCATGGGCAAGTCCAACGGCGCCCGGGGCAGAAGCCCTCAGCCGCCTTCCGAGAAACAGCAGCAACCTGCTGTCGCCGCGCAGCCTCAGCCTGCGCTCGCCGTTCCTGGAGCCCCCAAGGCCAGATCCAAGTCGCGATCCAAGTCGAGGTCCAGGAACAAGAAGAAGGCGGCCAATATCATCAGCACCTCCTACAAGTCTGACGGTGTCGAGGACAACGATGTCTTCCTCCTGCCCGTGTCTGACTACGTCGTAGCCCTGGGTATCATTGCTCTTGCTACCTTGGTTCGCACATGGAAAATCTACATGCCCACCAGTGTCGTCTTCGACGAGGTCCAGTGAGTTATCCTCCAGTTTGCGCACCCCTATCTTGAGCTTGGAATTGAATTGACCCCTTATTCCCAATTGCAGTTTCGGTGGTTTCGCCTCCAAGTACATCAAGGGCAAATTCTTTATGGATGTCCACCCCCCTCTCGCCAAGATGCTCATCGCCCTGACCGGCTGGCTTGCTGGATTCGACGGCTCGTTCGACTTCAAGGAGATTGGCAAGGACTATATCGAACCCAATGTCCCTTACGTTGCTATGCGCATGTTCCCTGCCATCTGTGGTATTCTGCTCGCTCCCATTATGTTTTTGACCCTCAAGACCGTTGGCTGCCGAACTGTGACAGCTCTCTTGGGCTCTAGCTTCATCATCTTTGGTATGCTTCTGCCAATGAGTCTCCTTGATTCTTGTGTGTTTTTCCCTTTGCTAATAAGGCCTGTCCAGAGAACGGCCTTCTTACCCAAGCTCGCTTGATCCTCCTCGACTCCCCCCTGGTTTTCGCTACCGCCTATACTGCTCTCGCCTTCAACGCTTTCACCAACCAACATGAACTTGGTCCCAGCAAGGCCTTCTCGCCCAGCTGGTGGTTCTGGCTCATCAACACCGGTCTCGGTCTCGGTATTACCGCTAGCATTAAATGGGTTGGACTTTTCACTATTGCCTGGGTTGGCCTCTTGACCATCCTCCAGCTCTGGATCCTCCTTGGTGATGTCCAGAATGTTTCCATGGTAGGAGCTGCTGCGAACCATTCTTCCAAGGTGTTCTGATTGCTAATTCAATATACAGCGTCTGTGGACCAAGCACTTCATGGCTCGCGTCTTCTCCTTGATCATTGTTCCCCTTACCTTCTACATGGCCATGTTCGCCATCCACTTCCTCTGCCTGGTCAACCCTGGCGAGGGTGACGGTTTCATGAGCTCCGAGTTCCAGTCTACGCTCAACAGCAAGGGAATGGCCAGCGTTCCCGCAGATGTTGTGATGGGTAGCAAGGTCAGCATTCGTCACGTTAACACCCAGGGTGGCTACCTTCACTCCCACCCTCTGATGTACCCCACCGGTAGCAAGCAGCAGCAGATTACCTTGTATCCCCACAAGGATGAGAACAACCTGTGGTTCCTTGAGAATCAGACTCAGCCATTGGGCGCGGATGGCCAGCCCATCAACGGTACCAACGCCTGGGACCTCCTCCCTGAGCCCAATCACATCACCGATGGGGCTGTTCTTCGAATTTACCATGTCAATACCCACCGCCGCCTTCACTCCCACGATGTCCGACCCCCTGTCACCGAAGCTGATTGGCAAAATGAGGTATCTGCTTATGGCTACGAGGGATTTGAAGGTGACGCGAATGATTTCTTCCGAGTTGAGATTGTGAAGCAGCAGTCGAAGAGCGGTGCCGCCCAGCAACGTGTTCGCACCATCGAAACCAAGTTCCGGCTTGTTCATGTCATGACCGGTTGCGTTCTCTTTTCTCATAAGGTGAAGTTGCCCGACTGGGCGTCTGAACAACAGGAGGTAACTTGCGCTCGTGGCGGCTCTGTCCCCAACAGTGTTTGGTATATTGAGAGTAACGAGAGCCCCCATTTGGGCGCCGATGCTGAGAGGGTCAACTACCGTAAGCCCGGTTTCTTCAGCAAGTTTGCCGAGATTCACACAGTGATGTGGAAGACAAATGCTGGCCTTACCGATTCCCACGCCTGGGACTCTCGCCCCGAGTCATGGCCCATCCTTCGCCGTGGTATCAACTTCTGGGGTCGCAACAACACCCAGGTCTATCTCCTTGGTAACCCCATCATCTGGTGGTCGTCATCCATCTCTATTGTCGTTTGGGTCGTCTTCAAGATCATTGCTGTTATCCGATGGCAGCGCAGCTGCGGCGATTACTCCAATGCCACTTTCAAGCGATTCGACTACGAAATCGGCACTTCGATTCTGGGCTGGGCTCTGCACTACTTCCCCTTCTATTTGATGAAGCGTCAGCTTTTCCTTCACCATTACTTCCCTGCCCTTTACTTTGCGGTTATTGCTCTTTGCCAGGTCATTGATTTTGCCACATCCCGAATCCCTGCCTCCCATGGCCACGCTTCGTCTGGTGTCATCTTTAACCGAATCACGGCCGTGATTTTCCTGGTTCTCTCCGGCGCCGCTTTCTCGCTTCTCTCTCCCCTAGCCTACGGTGGCCCCTGGACCAAGGCCCAGTGCAACCGCGTCAAGCTCTTCCCTACTTGGGATTTCGACTGCAAGAATTTCCATGACTCTGTACGTACCCCAACACACAGCTGAGCGACGAGCTCAGGAACTCTCTGACTAACTATAATTAGCTTGACCAGTACACCTACCTTACTGTCGAGGCAGGGTCAAACCCGACGCCCACCCCCTCGGTATCGGAAGCAGTTGTTCCTGAAAATGAGGCTCAGAAGCCTTTGGGTGACGCACCCGAAGTTAAGGTACCCGAAGCTAAAGCTCCCGAGGCCAATGCACCTGTAGAGGAGGTCAAGGTTGTCGCTGCCGAGGAGCAGGTCGTCGAGTATCGTGACCAGGACGGCAACCTGCTTAATGAGGAGCAGGTTAAGTCTCTTAGGGAACAGTCTGCCGAATTCTCAACCAAGCTTGAGACTGAGACTCAGGTTGCCGATGATGTCGCGAAGGAGCAGCCGCAATCCGTCGAGAGCGAGGCTCCCGTTGTTGCTCCTCCTCATCCCGATGTTGAAGGCCTCAACAGCGAGACCGTCAAGAACGATGAGAAGGTTGAGATTCCCCAAGACGCTGCGGCCAGCCGCGATGGCGAAAAGGAGGCCGAGCACAAGCAAGCTAAGCCTGCCAGCGAAGGACAGGAAGCCACCGTCGGCCAAGAGCTATAAACCAGAGTTGACTCGTTCGACTCAATGGTTCTACCCCCACACCAACCAAACCTACCTTTATTCGATCCTTTGTGAAATCTCCTGTATTATTTTTTTCCTCTCTCTCTCATAAACAGCAGCAAAAACTCTCTCTAATCTGTGGGGCAATGTTCCCCCCTCTTACAATGACGGATGATGTATCGGGAAAGGGAAAACTTGGGCTGGCATCTTTCCTATTAAACAAACATTTAACTCGGTTACGGAGAGAACAGGGGGAGGGTGGAAGTAGTGGAAGTGACATGAATAGGTGCCTGTTTCTCTCTGGGTGTGAAAGATTTATGTCCCAAGCACCCAGGCGGTGATCTCTATTTTATTTTCTAAAACACTCTGAAAGATGAAATGAAATAAAAAAAAATCTCTCGTCAAACCTCGTGGACTTAATATTACGTCGAATTTTGCCGTCGATCAGACCTCGTCGGCACGTATGCCGCCAGTCACTTCCTGTCGGAGATTTGCCATGTACCCCTCATCGACTCGGAGGCAATGTCTAGGACAACCAACTTGATCCAGCAGCCTAGATGATGAAAATGTCTCGGCCGATCATTCCCCTTGGCTCCGACGGGTCGGACTGTCCCGACCTGTTCTGGATTCAACACAGTCATTTGGATGAGCCAATGGCAAGATGCGTAGGTATGCAGATGTGATTCTTCATGTCTTTCCCTTGATTATTATCGTCATGTCTATCTATTAATGCCCACCGGCGTTAATTGGTCTAGCACCGTTCCCGTTTTTTGTATTTCGTGTGGTGTTCATGGCCCCCTTATGCTGTAGTCCCCATTCGCCCCTAGGCGGCGGACCTTTGAGAGAAGAATAAGGAAAGAAAAAGTCTCGTCCCGAGATAAGATAGGTAGGAAAGTAGGAAACCGGAAACCCCACGCTCTATAGACAGTCTTCATGGTAATGATAACGAGGAAGAAAAGATAATGGCGGAAATAACTTGAGCCTTTGAGCGCCGTGACCCGAGAAGAAACACCGGGAACTGAAAAAACGACTCCCACCAGCAACTTGATCAACACCCATAAGAACGCCGTTGTGCAAGGTACTCACGCCCAAGCAAAACAAAAGAAATACTCGGACTGTAAGAAAAAAGGAATAGGTTGGTGTCTCCAAAAATACCCACCCGTAATGATTAAAAGCAAGTAGTAGTGGTACATGTAATGAAATTGATAGTCAACTCCCGCTCGCTGAGGCAGACTTACTCCTTGGCTGTTTGCTCAGGGGGAGTCTGCGGGATCTTGACCTTTTCGGCAACTTCGGTTTGGTTACCGACATGCGTTTCGTCCTTTGGTGGAAGTGGTGGCGGCTCGCTGGCGGAATCAACTTCTTCAACTGATTCGACTGATTCGACCTTCGTGGTAGGGATATCTAGAGAGTCCACGGGTTCTGGTAAAACGGCGACGGCGTCCTCAAATTTGGGCGAGTCCGGAGATTCCTCCACAGACTCTCTGGCCTTTCCATCCGCCTCATCAGCAGCCTTCTCTGTTTTGAGCTGGTCCATACTTGGCCGGGCGCTCTTGTCCCCGTAAATGGTACCGTGCGATGTGCAGGGGATAACACCTCCACCAAGACGGGCCCAGAACATTTGCTCCCGTAGTCTAACGCTCTCCTCCCACGCAGACTTCTCCTGGTCGTCGTCCTCCGCCTTCCAGTGCCCATCTTTGACCATGCGCAGAAAGCTGAGAAAGTCGCACGTGGATCGGACACGGTTCAAGCAGTACTTGCACAAGGGGTATCTCTGAGCTGAATCCTGCTCGCTGGTGCGAAACCGGTGATTTCTTAGGTAAAGAGGATCCTTCCTTGACTCGCCGCATAATGAGCAAGGGTTGAGGTGTGGCTTGGAAATGCTCATGATGAATGAGTTGCCAGCATGTGTAGTGACAGGCTCAACCACCAATGATCCGTCCGTCATCGCACTCATGACGGAACGACGAGCCAGCCATGATAGCCCAGGAGCGGCATCGAGACGAAGCGTAGGCTCAATATCTTCAGTGAGAACACGCTTGAAGAACCTCGTATCGCGGATGTGGGGGATGGGGGTTGGTGATGCTTGGAGGGAGCTTGAACCACTTGGAGAATGAGGAGCGCTGCTGTTGCCGGCAGACGCGGCATTTCCAAGTGACGTTGTTGAACCGTTCGACAGATGGACGCTGGAAGTTGAGCCTCCAAGGCCAAGCGATGGCAGGCTGAGTCCGGCGAGAGACCCCGAGGACGTCCTTACAGTCCCCCCCGTGTGGATTTTTGAGATCTTAGTAAGGTTGAGGAAGTCGTCGTACGTATTGATGTCGAACCGGAGAACTGGTTGGATAAGATGAGGGAAACTCGTTGGTGGTGCCGGGGCCATGACATCAACGCCACCCTGCGTAGGCGTAGGTGAGCTGAAACGCTCGTCATCTCGGAACTCGAGTCTGGCGACGCCAGGTGACGATGGGGCTGTGTTATTGGTGTAGTCATCTTGCTCGGACGTGATGGTTTCCATGACTTGTTTCAGCTCCGAGAGTTGCTCCTGTTGCGACTTTAGCAGGCTCTCAGAATCGGCGAGCTGGGCCTTGAGCTGGTCGTTCTTGCGCTGGATAATATCATGCTCAGCCTGTGCCTCCTCCTTGGCACGGATCACCATCTTGTTGGCCTCTTCGAAGAGCGCAGCTGTGAGGTTTTCCAGCTCCTGCTCGATCAGCTTCTTGGCCTTTTCCACCTCTAGTCGTTTGGCCTTTTCCTCGGCGACCTGGGCTTGCCACGTCTTCTTCTCAACCTCAACAGCGGTCTTCCGAACCCAAACGTCCCCAGAGAGGATTTCACGATGAGAGGCATTCTGCGCCTCCAATTCCACTATGCGTTCGTTGGCTGTCTCGAGCTCGTGGCGTGTGGCACTAAGGGTGTCGTCGAGGATCGTCTGGTGATTGATTGCGTTGATGAGCTTTGTACTTAGAGCAGCTACCTCATCAGTGAGGTCCGGGTGTTGCGAGCTGCCTGTTGACCCATTACGCAATGGGGTCATCGACCGGCTTCGGGGATCGGGAAGAGTGCTCAACTCATCGTTGTAGAAATCTACGGGCGAGCTGTTGACGTTCGAAAGCGATGATGCAGAGATCTGATGCTCCAGTTGCGACCTGGACTTGGGTGAGCTGAGCGACTTGGGAGACGCGGGCGGCGAGGCGGAGCCGGAGGTTATTGCCGGAGTGGTCATGGATGAATGTGATCTGAAGTGGCCAAGAGGCCGAGAACTATGACTCCAGTTGGCGACGTGTACGAAGCTGGGCAGGATGTTAGCGGCGGCCATGGCTAGGATGGAAGTCGAGAGGAAGGAAGAAACAAGAAAGGGTGCATGACGCGAAGAAGTCTAAAGGCAAAAAAAAAATAACAGCATTCCAGTCGAAATCATATACTACATTTGTGGGTAGTAGTTTTCTCTTTAGACTTTGGCTAGCTCAAGGGGCGTGAAGATACGAGCGGGTGAGACAGGGTATGGGGTTATTGAGTAGCGGTGGAGAACTGAAGCAATACGGAGCAGGAAGGGGCAAGTATGTGACGGAAGGACTGAACAACAGTAAGACAGTCTCGAACAGTGAGGAGCAAGACGTACGAGTCCATGTTAAAGACGGCTGCCGGCACGGGGAGTGCAACGGTGCGAGCCGGAGAAGAATATGGATGCCCAGACCAGTTAGGTAGATGCGACTAGACTGGCTGTAGGGATGATATGATATAGAATCTAGAACGGCTCGGAGCGAAGGTCTGTAAGGGTTTGTGGGTTTCGAGGGCAATTGGCGAATAGTAACTCGGATCGGTCGAGGTGAAAGCGAGGCGAAGCGAAAGGAAGAGACGAGGAAAGGCCAAAGCAACGCTGTCGAATCCAAAGGCCACCTGCCCAAGCGACGAAGAGCAGGACAGCGGGTGAATCAGAACTGCTGCCTCTCACCGCGGCTTAGTCGGCATGACTCTCGGGGGGCGTGGCGGAGAGATGATGAGGGCGGATTACGAGGTGGATAGTAGATACTCGTCGTCGTAGATATACGGGAGGGAACCGAAATCGAGGCCCGATTCGATTGGTGGCGGGTTCAAGTGGGTGGTCCGTGTGCCGCTGGCTGTCGCGGAAGGGAATCGCGGGTAGAATCTCGCTCGTTGTCTCTGGAGAAGTTGCGACGGGTCTGGAAGCACCGGTTGCGAGTGCTGGCGTGGAGGAGCGGCAGTTTGGGGGAGGAGGGGAGCGAGAGGGACGAGCCCGTGGGTGTGGGTGAGGGATTGAATGGATGTGATTGAAAGCCAGGTTTGGGGTGACGATGGATGATTCGATGACATGGAAGCCGGTACAGACCTGCGACCTCGCGATTGGGGCTGAGCAGCGCTGATGGCATGTACCAGCTGGTACCCCACTAGCGGGCAGACCTTTCCTTACCGACCTGGCACTGGACTGGATCCAATGGTGCCGAACACAAATACAGTGGGTGCAGGGCCTTATCCAATGGATCCAGGGCCATTATCGCTATCGCCCGGTGGGGAAGCCAGCTATAGCCGATGGGGACGGAACAGCGTCAGCACCTGGACCGATCCATCTTGCGGACAAGCGCTGCAAGGGACCCCCCGTCGCTAGTCATCAGGGACAAAGAGAACAATCGATTGATTCCCAGAGCGCTACGCATGCACCACATCACACACGCATCGTATCTCATTAGTAGTCAGGAGTCGGACCCCGCCGCCAGCCACCGACGCGGCATCGACATGCGCAAGCCCCATCTCATCAATTGATGACAGCTCCGGCTCCTGAGTGCCTAGGTCAGGTCCAGGAACAATGGTCGGTCAGGAGGTAATTACCGCCGCTGGACGAGCAGCATCGCTTCCACCCGCTTCTCGTCTCGTCTCGGGCCATGGAGTGCGCGGCATCAGCAGCTGGTGTCGCTGCAAGGGGGCGCCGGATACGAATACTACTGTGCTGTGCTGTGCAGTCTCGACCCCGGAATCCTCATCAATCCCTCCACTTTTTCCCATCATCTATCCATCCCCCTTCTTTTTCCCTCGGGCTCGCTCGCAGCACAGACCGGATCAGACAAGATTCAGATGCCAGTCCAGCCCAGCCCAGCCCGACATGGACCTTCCCCCCCTCTGGTACTACGCTAGAGATGCTTTGCGCATCACATCGCATGGCATCGCATTGAGATCGAGCAGCGGAAACTAACTGATTGGCGGCCTCGGCCGATCGCATTGATCAAAGTTCTCGACTCGCCCTGGCCTCGGGCTTAGACTAAACCCTACGCGACCCAAGGTTTTTTCTTCTTTCTGCCGAACCACTGCCCTAGCCCAGGTCAGGCACCAGTACTAAGGTTCAGGCACAGGCACAGGCGCGCACATGCACAAGCACGCGGCAGCCCCCAATTGTCAGCAAGCCCATTTTCAGCTTTCCAGGCACGCGCAGATAAACCATCCACTAATCAACTTCCATCAATAGCACTTGCCCACCTAAGCCAGGTACGACCCAGGCCCTGGCAGCCACTAGCCTCTGCCGCTAGGAGGGTGACAGTGCAGCAGCCTCAGCGCTAAGATGATCGACTGATGCTTACCTGCCCGTCTCATTCCCCTGCGTCTCTCCATTCACCTCTACCTTACCTGCGTAATACAGTGCTGCTGTTATTTGCAGCCCGTGTTTCAATCCTCGCCCCATGCCATAAACACCGCGTCAAGCTATTATAAGCAGCCGCCTGCGACGGGAACATCACCACCCTCCCATGCATGTGACACGGCCTATCACCAACTTACACAATTCCCCCTCACGCAGCCTCGCATCTGGCTGCTCCTCCGTGACTGGAATGAATGCTCGCCTATCATGATTGGGATACGGCCCGGGTCCCCCCCCCCCATCCCAAGCAGGGTAGGATTCTCGGCTCTTTTGCCATCAGGGTTTTTCCGCCCTTCCCTGCCCGATCACACAATACAGATGTGACGGCAATCGAACTGCGCCTGTGCCGTCCCCTCCCCGCTCCTCCTCTCCTGTGACGCAATCCGTGAAGGGACTTGTCTTGGAAGCCTGCCGAGCCGTGGGCGGACGAACGACCATCTCAAACCGTCTGACACCGGAATCAAGGTGGGGGCTTTGCTGGTTTTTGACATCACGGACGGGGGGCAACCTGGTCCCCCGTGCACGAGTGTGAATTATTTTTGTGACAACTTGAGACATGCCCTTCCTTGACTGTTGTGCTGTCAGAACAGAGCACGGACCGAGGGCTGTTTTGATTACCGCTCATTTTAAGACCGTTCACAGCGCACAGTTTCGAATCGGTTCCTAATAATAAATCGGGTGAAATCGTCATTCCTGGCCAGGACAGGAGAATAATCAACCCAAACGATCTAATTGTCCGCTGTGTATAGGAGCTATGCAAGCCGTCACAGTAGAGGACTGTGCCTAGATTATGCACACTTGATGCCAATCATGACCTCACTGCTTGCAATGTATGTATACGAAGAAGAATATGTGAAAAACACACGCGCGAGTCGCTATATTTTTTGCCAGCTTCAAGCAGCCATTCGGCCGATTAAGCGTCATGCCGCCGCCAAATAACCAAGGGAACAGAGAGACTCCAAACGGAAAATCGTTTTCCAACAGGGATAGAGGCATTATTCCGCTCATCATGAACGCAAACCAAAGACATGTAGTAGATAATGTACAAAGAGAAGATGGGATATAAAATAAAGAAGCAACGACACTTCTTCTATGCCGCGCTCTTCCCCGCCCACGTACTCCAGGTGTAAGGCGTATAGATATAGGTAGTAAGGCTATGGATTAGAAACATGATGTACCCCCAACAAAGGGAATAGAAGGAAAAGATAAGAGATGCAAGATGAAGAAATAGACGATATATACCTCTTTTAGAGATTCGAAATTCGACAAAGAATAGAACAGACAAAATGGGTTGGGAAAATATCCAAAAGTGAGATCCAAAAAAAATAGATATATTCTAAAGAATATTGTTTTTCAAACGCTCACGCTTCGCAGAACACTAGGAACCCAGAGCTCGGGTAGGTTAAATTTTTCCCTTCCCAATCCCCGATCGCGAAACGAAATAAAAATGATGAATAATGAAGTTAGACATTAATCGTGCGTCGGGAACTACTCGTCGTTCCAAAATTCAGGCTCGCCGTATGGATTCCACTCCTGACCCGGGTAGCTTGTTGCCGTCATCTTGGGCGGCTCACCCTCCGGCTCGTAGAAGATCTTCTCCTCCTGCTCGTTGAGTCTGAGGGTTCTCATGCGGGCATCTGCCGTGTCAGCCAGCTCCACGGTGAATCCTCGACTGCCTTCGCCGGACCCTGCAGCCGATGACTTTGGCTGCGTTGCTGGAGATGTTGCCTTTGTCTGTGTCACAGGAGATGCTGCCCTGGCTTGGCTCACAGAAGATGTCGCCTTGGCTTGGGCGACAGAAGATGCCACCTTGGCTTGGGTGACAGGAGATGCCGCCTTGGCCTGGGTGACAGGAGATGCTGCCTTGGCCTGAGCGACAGGGGAGCCTGCTTTTGCCTGTGCTACAGGAGATGCTGGCTTTGCCTGGATCGCAGAGACGGCCTTGACCTGAGCCGCAGGTGAGGCCGCCTTCGGCTGGGCTAAAGGAGGTGTAGTCTTTGCCGGGGGTGCGGGAGATGCAGCCTTCGGCTGGGCCATGGAAGGTCCTGCCTTGGCCAGGGGCACAGGGCTTGCTGCCTTTGGTTTGCGCTCCGCAGGTGACTTTGCAGGCACTTTGGGCTTGCTGGGGGTCTCCGGACCACTGGTAGCCGGCTTACCATTGCCCTGCTTGATCTTGGGAGTGGCGTCGTAGAGGTCATCGTTGCTATCCCGAGCCGTAACTCGCTTAGTGTCCTGCGATGACTCCGCTGCCAACTTTGATCCTGCTCTGGATCTCGTGCTGGGGTTCGGCACATCAATGCTTCGAGCGCGCGACGATCCACTGATGCTTCCGGGGCCTCCCTTGATGGTGTCGTTGCTGATTGAATTAGTCGGTGATACCACCTTGATCACCTCCACTCTCTGCGCGACACGCTCTTGACCGTGGCCTTCCGATGAGGCAGAGCTGTTCTCTCTTGATACCTCGGATGAAGTCAAGTTGTGGTTGCTGACTTTGAGGTGCAGCGCGTTTGGCTTGTGGAGTTCACGGTCAACCGATCTGTCCTTGGGACTGTAGATCCCCATCACTCCCGACTCGTTGCTTCGTGCTCCTTCCGATGCAATGCTGTTTCCACGTAGAATGTTTGGCCTGTTTCCATTAGCCGAGGATCCGTTAATCTGTACAGGGCCGGTCGGCTGAGACAGCTGTGGACCGTTCTGCGTTGAACCTGCGCCCTGGATGGGTAATACGAACTCATCTTGGGAAGCAGGTGTGGGTGGAACACCAGCAACATTGATTTCGTGTGAGCGGTCGGGGTGCTGCACGATCTGTGGAGGCCGGGCGCCTCGCATCGCGTCCGGATTCCTGTCGTCTTCCGGATTCAGCGCTTCGCGTGAGGCTTGGGCCCCAGGGGGGACCGATACGATGCTTGGTGCATGGGACTCCGCAACGGAACCATTGCGGACCATGGTGTAGGGCTCATGCTGTCCATCCGATTGAGGGCCTTGCTGTGATCCTGGGGGCAGAGGGGATTGCGGCATCTGTCCCTGGGGCGACTGTCCATAGTAAGCTTGCTGTTGTGCTCCATATGGATATGGCTGCCCTTGATGCTGGTGTTGTCCCTGTGGGAATGAGTGTGGCTGAGGACCCACGCGGTAACTCGTAGGCACAGTGCCTCCCTCACCATGGACCGCAGTGTAGCCCCTGGGAATTGGAACCGAGCCGTACTGAGGCTCCGGGGCCTTGGTCAGCATCTGCTGCATTCGAGAAGGCTGCTGTGGGCGACCATCTCCGTTCGTGGGCTGACCACGGCCAAGAGCCCCAAGAGCCTGTGGGTTGTCCCAGTGGCTTGGTGGAGGGCCTTGGCCGTGTTGGCTAACGGGAACAGCGCCAGTAGGAATCTGGCCTGGACGAGCAACCACCGTGTACATGGGCCTATGCCCAGATCCTGGCAGTTGCTGCCCCGGGTTGAGTGGGCTTGGAAGTGGCCCATTCTGCTGTCCAATATTCTCTTCCTCAATCCCCTTGATAGGGCCTGGTGCCTTTGAGCCTCTCTTGAGGACACTGAACAGCTTACCGCCCCCTGAGGACTTTTCCTTTTCCGCCTTGGGTTGAGTGAGACCGCTGGAGACCCTGTCCCTCAAAGCCTTCCAGCCCGATTTTTGAGGATCAGCTCGAGCCGCAGATATGCTGTCACGGCCAGCAGGATCGCCCTGGTTGTGCATCGAGGAGATAACAGACATGGCGGATGGCTGAGGAGAGGGGTACCTTCGGCTTGCGGGCCCGATGGAATGAATGGAAGGTTCCGAGACGATACCTTGAGGAGGGGGAGATCCTGGAGCCCCCGGCAGTGGCTTGACCTGCTGGAGAGTCTTGTCTTCCGGGAGCGGGACCTCGGTGGTGGAGCCCCAGCCCGACGCACCGGCAGCACTTACAGGAGGCTCGGATACTGAGTCTGGTGTTGCTGGCCTAGGGGCGGTCATGGCCGCCGACGCAGGGCCTGGAATTGGCACTGGGTTGGGCACTGGCTTTCGGGCCAAAATGCCCTGGTTTGCTCTGTCTTCACTCGGTCGACGAAGACCCAGTGCCGGCTTCGCATCGGAGGCCAGGAATGCAGGCAATGCTCCTGAGTGTGGAGTAGGCTGTCGCCTAGCAGGGCCGAAGGCGCCTTCATTAGAAGGGATGCCGTTGGTAGCGAACGGTCCCCTGTATGCTGGGTGGGTGTTGAGATCTTGTGTCTCGCCAGCACTACCAATGGGCCTCGAAGCATAATCAGACGGGTCTGAGTGATCTTGCTTGGGGGCTGCGGGTCCGGAGCCTCTCTGAGATGGGCCAGACGTTCTCGCGGTGGTGAGGCTTGGGCTGGTTGATGCCCTATGTCCAACCAGATGATCCTCCTCGTCGGATTCCACGGAAGACGTCTCGAGGTCCAAACGAGACTGGGACTGAGCCTGGGCCAGGGGCGACGGTCGTACTTGTTGTTGTTGCTGGCCTTGCGACATGGGCCTACCGCCCATACGGGGGCCATTCTGGTACATCGCTTCGTTGTCGGGATCCATCGGGCCCGTGGGAGAGCTACTTCGTGCGAACAGAGGAGGTGGTCGTAGGGGTGCAGATAAGGGTGGTGTCTCAGCACGACCATTGACACCATCCTCATCTGGCTTCAGTTGCGCAGATGCCTTCCCCCGTAGGGAGCTGAACATTCCCGACATCGATCCACGACGCGGTCGGCTTTCCTGCTCGTGCTCAGGAATTGATGGTGGCGGCTGCGGTGCGGCGGCTGTGGAACCAGTCCTTGGCCTGAAGAACCCACCACCATTAGGAGACGGCGGCTCACTTGGTATGTGGTCACTACTTCCGACTACAGTAAGCGGCTGGCCATGGAAGGGACGGCTTGGTTGTTGCGAGCTGTCCTTTCCTTGTCGCTTCAGCTTCCCTGCCAGTCCGCTGAAACCACCAGCAAAGTATTTGCTCTTCAGGGTGGAGCCATTGCTATTCACACTGCTAGTTGCAGTGCTCTCATTGACCGAGCCCAGCGTCGTCGACTTCGCAAGTCCACTCTTGAACCGCCCTGACTGTGTGATCTTCCCGAAAAGCGACTTCTTCTTTTCAGAGTGGGTCGAAGGGGCCTTGTGAGAATTGGTCGGGCTTCCCGGTCTTCCATACCGTATGTCATCCATGGACGAACGATTGCCAACGGCGGTACCCGTCAAGACGCTTGTCCTCTTCCTCCTTGGTTGCGGGGGGTTTTCCAGTGAAATTTCTGAATCATCGTCGTCGTCGTCGTGCATATGGGGCTCGGTTGAATGAGGCCTGTGATGATCAGGTACCAGACCTCGACTGTCTCTTTGTGGCAATTGGTTAATTCGATTGCTTATATTCTTGAGCAGGCTCATCCTTGATCGGCCATCGTCATCCATCTTGGGGCTATTGTTTTTGATGGCTCCGGTCCACCCTTGCGGCGGTCGGTCTTGCTGTCGATCGTTACTATCCATCGAGAAGCGAGAAACCTGCTGGTCGGAGTGGGTGCTGGTCTGGCCAGTTGAGCCGGCACGACCTCTCGTGGTAGTCGGAGACTGGGGCACGTTAGGAAACAAGTCAGGATGACGCGCAGCAGCGGACGGTGGGTTGCTGGGCCGAGTGGCACGAGTAGGTGATTGTAACGGCGGATGACCTGACGGACGATATGTGGATTGGATTGGGGAGACGGGCGTAGCAGCGCTCATGCCTGTGTCCTTTGCAAAACCAGAAGGATTACCAAAGGTCTGACTGGGGTCGTTTTGCTCAGCCCCTGTCTCCTTTTCGAGGCCAAAATTAGCAGGTTGTTGGGGAGAGCTGTTGCTGTTGGTCCCAGCACGCTTCCTGGCAACCGGGACCAGAGGTGCCTGCAGGTTGCTCGTTTGCATCGCCCAACCACTTGGGGCCGCGGCAAACTGGGGTGGGGGCGCAACGAATTGAGGTTGCTGTCCAAACTGCGGCGGAACCTGTGGAACTTCGGGGATCTCGTTGCCAGCGTTGGCTGCAGCCGTGTCAATCTGCAGAGAATGGCTCGCAGAGGAGGAGCGATGGGAATTATGTTGCGAGTCCCGGTTCGAGTCCTTGAACCCCAACGATGTCCGCCTCGTCCGGCTGCTATCGGCACCAACAAGAGTGACCTCACTGTTCTGCCCAATGGAGATGTTTGTACCGTTCTCTAGAGGCGCCGCAACGTCGCTACCGAGGAGTGCGTGGTCGGGAATGTCGGCGCTCGGGCTGAGAGATGGGACGGGCGGGATATCGCTATCATCGATCATGCCGCTCGAGGTGGCCTCTCTAAGACTGATCCCAAAGGTAGATCCGCGCCTGATTGGGGGCAGGCCTTTGAAGGAACCTGTACGTTTAGGCTGCTCGACAGGGCTGCTCAACTCGTCGTGCGGTGACTGGGGCGGCGACGACTCTTGATGCTGCTGTTGGTGATGAAGGTACTCTTCCTGCTGGGATTGAGGGTGCTGCGCTTGGTATTGCTGCGGCTGGTATTGTTGAGGAGGGGGCGGCTGGTATTGTTGCTGCAGGTACGGAGGCTGGTATTGTTGTCCCTGCTGCTGTCCCTGCGGCTGTTGTTGCGGCTGTTGTTGCTGCTGCTGCGGCTGCTGCTGCTGGGGCGGATATTGCGGTCGTTGGTACTGGTGAGGGGGGTATTGTTGTTGCGGGTAGGACGGCCGATAGACTGGCTGCTGCTGCTGCTGCTGCTGGGCAGGCTGCTGGTATTGCTGCTGTCGATGCTGCGTTGGCGACGGGGGAGACGACTGTCTGGTGCCCTCAAAGGCAGACATAGTAATTGTCGTGGGCTGCCGGCTAGACGCAGCCTTCGATTTCTGTTTGCCCATGTCAGACAGCTCGCTCGAGTCGCGAGGGCTCGAGGACCCGGGCTTGGGATGGGGATTGAGGGTGGCTGTGATGGAGAGGGATGGGTGAAGGAGGAAATTGGGAGCGGGTGAATTTTTTTGTGGTGACTGGTAGGCAGTAATCAAAGCAATCGCAGGAAAGATGGTGCTCTCACGTTGTCGGCCGCGAATAGCTCAAATGGTCAGAGCTCTGCTCACGGCATACGGGGTCACGGCAGGGTCAGGGCTGGAGGGATCGGTCCATCAGTTGAGCGCTCAGCAGCGACTGGTCTGGCGCATCGCCTAAAATCTCAGGACGTAGACGGTTAGGTCAGGTTAGTTTGCTGTTGGCGTGTGTCGGGAGCGAGCGAAGGCAGTCTGGATCTGGCAGCAGAAGTGGGATTGGCCGGAGAGGCGCAGCGCTGGCGTTGGCTGGAGCAAGGCGACACACAGCGAGGCGATGGGCGCTCTGCACTGTGGAAGGACGCTAGGTACACGCAGTTACCCACCACGGAAAGCAGATGGAAGGGACCACTTGACTCAACCGCTGCTGGGTCGGCGTGCTGAAGGAATCAGCCAGCTGGAGCCGCTGGTGGAGAGCTGCGCCTGTGGAAGGCTCTGTGACTGGCGGGCACGCTGAAGGAGCTGGCTCTGGTGGAGGCCGCTGCTGGGGGGTGGGGCCTGGCCGTTCGCCGCGCTGCTCTTTTGGCTCTGGTGCTGATGGGCCTGTTCTGTATCTGGCCTAAACGGTTGTGGCGCCGCTCCATCGCTTGCCATAGTTGCGCCTTACGGGACCTCTCCAGCCTCCAGCTGAAAGGAGGCCGCCCCACGACCTCGGCGATCACCAGGTGCTATCACTCTCGCTTCCGCGGCCTCAATCTCAATCTCGGTCGCAACCCCTACGGCGTATCCCTTCCCATCCCATCCCATCTCCATCACATACCGTCCCATCTTATCCCATCCCGGTGCAAACTCTGTACTATGTACAGGAGGGTGTCACTCGCTGCAATCCCGCGCATCATCACATCGGACGTTGGTACCTATCCGTCATTACATTACATTACATTACATACATACATACACCATGGTCCCAGTCGATCCATTGGCTGGGGTGTATCTATGTATGGATGGCCCAGGTGGGCTTGTGCAGTCATTACCGCGTCCCGGGTACATCTCAACGTCGTAATTCTGGTCTTGTACGTGTGCGTGCATGAGGCCGAAGCAAGGGTAACCAGGAAAATCAAGCCCACAGTGGTGTGAGCGGCCCTCGCATCTGCATCTGAGTGGTGACGACAGGCCTTCCACGGGCTCAACCCGGCAGGGGTCCGGGCTGGAGGGAAATTGTGGCATTAAATTCCTCATGTATGTGTCCCGGTCCGCGTGTCTCATCATAATGTAAGCCAAGAAAATTTGAGATTATGAGGTTCATGCCCCACAATCCCAGTTAATAAACACGAAGCTTGAAAGATTCCATCCCATCCTTCAGTCCTTCTAATAAGCCCACATCTCGCCTCTCTCTCGCTGTCCCTCACGATGTTGTACATAATAAGAGGGGCGGGTCCTAGTGATGCTAAGAAAAGCCCATCAGACGAAAAATGCAGTAGGTAATAGACAACGGACCCAGATAAGCAGACATAAAAACACCATCCCAGATGAGGCAAGACGAACGCAAAAACATAAAACAGTTCGAGACAGCCAACGAGCCAATCAAATTAGGTAATCAACCACACATCTTTACACACGACATCAATCTGTCTGTGGCTATCACCCTCAGTCAACCAACAGACAGATCGGGACGACAGGGAGAGAGAAGCAGCAGGAAAAGGGAATCGGAGAGCGTGAAAGATGACGATTAGTGCGGCTTCTTGTCCCCGGTTCCACGTAGTTTACTCCTGCCCTTGCTGAACAGACCTTTGCCCATCTTGCCCGCCGATTGCATGAACTCCTTACTCTTGTGACCAATTTGGTTGCCTCCATGACCAAAGGCACTTTCAGCAGCAGCCTGTGCATGTTCACCAAAGCCTGCAAGCCTTGCTCGTGCCAGTTTGGCACCTGCTCCAGGCTCCTGTGACGAACCCATTGGCCCTTGTCCTGTAGAGCCATGTGTTGTAGTCGTATGCAAAGATGGGCCGCCAGACATGGAACAACTCGCGTTGGCATGTTCCGGCCGCACCGTCATCAGGGCCGCCATCCAACCGTTGAGGCCCGAATCCGTCATGGCAATATCAAGCCTCGTTGTCTGGAACTTGCTCAACCTATCCCCTGGAGCAATAGTCATGATCTCCTTCAGAGACATAACATCCTTCTCTCTGGGAACCTCGAATGTCACCGAGTGAGCATCATTGGTAGTCGGAGATGGAGGCAGAACTTCCTTTTCAAGAGATTGTGCTGTTGGGATAGGGAACGGAGCATTCGTAGTATTGTGACGGTCTGAGCCAGGCGAACCTCGACCATTGTTAAAATCCGAGGGGCCCGATGGGGCTAGTAGATCGGGCGAGCCTGACCCAGGAATCATGATGATGGTAGGAGATATTGGCAGATCCGGGGAATTGCTGATGGCCTCATTGCTCTCCACTGGGATCGGCGCTGAGTCTGCACTAGGTGGTGTCACCTTGGCATCTGGAACGTCCACCGGAGCTGGTGGCGGCCCAAGTGCGGGGTGCTCAGCCTTTTCCCAAGAGAATCTGTTACGTAGGAGATGATCAGGAGAATCCAGCCCTCCGCCCGATTCCAATTGCTTTGAATTCACCTGAGGAGACTGTTCGCGAGAAGGTCGGTCAAAGGATGCTGGCCCAGCAGTGACAGGGGGTTGTGTTGGTGCAGCCGGCTGCTTAGAGCTCTCACCCCAATATTCGCCTCGGTTGTTGAGAAAGTCTTCAACGTCAGATTTTCCTGCGGCCTCTTGTGGTCCAATGTTGGCTGGAGGACTTGGAGTCTTTGTAGGTATCCCACCGGGAGTTAGCGATCGCATAATCTCGTCACTCAGCGCATCGCTCTTCTTTATAGGAGAAGAATCCCCGCTGCCCGTACTGCCATACAGTGACGGTGGCTCCACCATCGATGATGGAGGGGGAGGGAGGTGCGGAACGTTTGGTGGCCCTTCAGGTGCCTTTGGGCTGGAGGGGACCGCCAATGGAGGAGGGCGGGCATTAAATGTAATATTAGGAGTACTGTTCATAGATGAAGGGTTCGACACCTTTCCACTGTCAATAGACCGTGTTTCTGTCACCCAACCCCCAGGCAATCCTGGCCGTTGCGGGTTTGGAGCAACGACACTCGAAGGCGCTTCAGGAACAGCATCCATCCGTGGAGTTGGGGGGCTAACAGGCTTGTCCCCTTGTACACCATTCTCTGGGTTCTGCTTCTTCACGCTACCGGAAGTGCCTGAAAACATGTCCGAGCCGAATGTAGACATTCGCGCGACATTGGGAAGCTTAGGAGAGTCATCCTTGTCCGCTCCTGTGTCCTCCGGTCCTTGCTCAAACGACAGCTTCCGCGGCTCCGGCGCAGGCGGGGTGTTCTGGATCTTTTGGTCTGGAGAACGGCGGGAATCGTTCGATGGACTCTTGCTGATTGGGGGCCGGATTTCGGCGATAGATGAGGCCGGGAAGGAGGGCACTGGGGTTTGAGAGCCGATTGGGGGATGGGTCGGTGTGGAAATGGTCTCCTGTGCGGGTTGATTTGCAGAGGGGATGGGGAAAGTCGGGCGCCTAAGGGCAGGTATTCGAGTATCGGAAGGCAACCTGCTATTGCTCAGAGGAGGAGGTCCGCGAGGCATTGGCGGCTCGTCGGGCGACTCAGGCTCATCCTCCTCGTCGGAAGCTCCCCAGTCGTCGCCGTCGTAGTTGACCGTCTTCGCTTCCACCCATTTCCTCGTCTTGGTCCTGTTGACATTGACCTTGTACGTACTAAAAGACTGGGCGTTAGTCCACGCGCAGAAAGGTATATGTATATTGCAAAACGGTGGGAAGCGAGTGATCCCGCGATTGACTTGGAGAGTTGCCGGAAGTGGCGTCATACATACCCAGACTGCCCAGAGCGTCCGCCTTGGCCAGTAGATTTGTCCATAACTTCTAAATATTCCAAACCGGAACTCCAAGTTCACATTTCTCCCCTGCGTTGCAGTCGCAATCTCCGGACGTGAGCGCCTTACTTGAGCTCGGGATGCAGCCAGGTCTTCCACCGTAAATGAATGGGATGATTGGGCGTCAAACGAGAAGAAATATCGCTTGCCGAAGAAGTATGATGACAGAATAGGATAAATATACTGTAATGGAGCAGTGCTAAGAGGAAAGAAAACAGCAAAATACAAGAACAAGTTGGGCGACAAACGGTGCCTGAGGGGTTCTGGCGGATTGATGACGAGGTTGTAATTTCCAGGGCTACAGAAGTCAACTAAGGTAAGGTGCCTCCAACCACGCTCCAACCACGCAGCCTGATCCACGTGCGCCACCGGCGGGAAAACCATGCGAGCTCAAGATGAGGCGGTACCAGCCACATTTACCTACGTATGCGCTAGCCAACATCTCCATTCCACCCCTTTCCCTTGCTCTGTGGATTGGGCTGGGCTAAAATAGCATCCCGTCTATTATTATAACCTGCATGTTGGTGTAGCTGCAGGATACCCTCATTAGGGCCTGTCTGCTCGTCCTTCTACATCACTGCATAGTTTCGCGAATCACGACAATGTTATCTCCTGTTCATGGCCGGCGCTTAACTCGCAACAGAGCACGATATCAATTGCCATGATTGGACTGCGTACATGAAACCTGTGGCGGGGAACAGATGCCTCGGCACGAGAGCCTACCTATCGTTTCGTCGCATTGGCCCAAACTGGGACATCTCCAACCCACATCCTTGAAGATGTAGAATATCGGAAGTGCCAACCGAAATTTGCCGGTTGAGAATTCCTAGACCTGGACTATTTATTTGTTTGGCAGTCAACGTAGCAGACACCAGTCACATGCATGCAGTACGGATACATGTAGAGGAATGGATGGTTGGCCTGTCTTTCAAGAGGGGTGCCGAAGCCAGTAGCTGATCGACGTTGTACAACGCCTTTGTTCAACGTTGGCCTACCGTACAGGTGGTTCTGGTTTACCCAGATCATACTGGCCCGTAGTACGTAATTGAGTGCGTACGGTGCAGGGTGGCTGAGACTTGCTGCTTGCAGCGCTTCAATTGCCTTCGCGACAAAAGCATCGCTTAGTCATCGCCGCTGTCCAATGGCGCTAAGCCAGATCGTCTTTCCACGCTGCCCCACCTCTCATTGGCTGAGCCGCCGGACTTCAGCATTCGCCCGCCACGGCTCCCATGACTACGCCTTCACCAGGCAATCAAGCCAGCACTCATTCCCTTCATCTCTATCGCCGCCTCCCCTCGCGCAGCCACCAGTCGATTTCATAACTTAATTATTACCAGTACAAACTCTCATATCTTCTGTTCTCGCCCACTTCGACCGCTTGAGGCCATTACCGGCTCCACTCGCCCCTGACCCCTCGGTGTCGCGAAATCTAAAACGGACAACGTAAAACTCATCTCCCCCCCGTCACAGCCGACCCCGAGTTCGAGTCGTCGCAAACACGCTCCCTCTCCATTTTCCTTTCTCATTCTATAATCTACGCATAGACCCGCGCTGGACGCGATCTCTGTTGCCCATCATGGCCGTCGCATCCATTCAAGACCGCACATCCGAGTTCCGATCAGTCCTCGCACAGGCCCAGCGTCGCCAGAATTTGAACAAGGCCACCTCGCAAAAGAGGTCCCTCCTCACCGACGCCCAAAAGGCCACTGCAAACGGGGATGCCCGACCACGACGATCGGATTTCGCCAGGAAGGCGGCGGAGATAGGACGGGGCATCTCCGCGACAATGGGGAAGCTGGAGAAACTGGCTCAGCGTACGTTGGGGAAACCAGGCACGTTTTTCATTTGGCGGATGGTACTGACCAGAACTAGTCGCGAAGCGCCGAACACTATTCGATGACAGACCAGTGGAAATCAACGAACTCACATTTGTTATCAAGCAAGACCTCTCATCGCTCAATCAGCAGATCGGCGACTTGCAATCCCTCTCAAAGCAGCAGCG